TTGAAGGGCGGAACCCCAGCTGCAGACAGTGGAAAAGTCGGCAAGCGCTACACCACTGACTGGGAATTGGGGGTGGTACTTCGGTGGAATCGGTTTCATCCACTGTTGTATTGCTGTTTTGGAATGCCTCCCCATCCACTGGATGTGCTGTACGACAAGGAGGTGCGTGTATGCAGACCGCATCTTCCAAACGCGTCAAGAGTTTAAGGGCATGGCTTAGAAATCCTTTACAGTTATGACAAATGTAATGAACACCACCGACAGTTTGGCGCAGCAAATTTTCCCGCACACCGCAGTACCGACAGAATGGTGATGGCCTGGAGATGACTGCTTTAATTGGTGTAGATGGCGTAGTGGAAGCAGCTTCTTTGTGGCCTGTAATTGAAAAGGAATACGAAAAAGCTGTAAACAATGTCCTCTAAGGCTGACATCAGAACAGCGAAAACAGGCTTTAACGAAGAGGCGCTCATTTAAAATGACTCATTTTAAGTTTGTATATTTTAGACTTACGATTAAAATGACAAGTGCAAGCTGTCAATGAGCATTATGTAGGCCTGAGCTATGAATAATGTGGATCATGATTATGCTCTAAAGGGTCGCGAGAATTGAAACTTTAAAAACAGGAGGTAGAGTAGTCTAAGATGAAAGATGGACGGTTTGCAGTCAGAAGCTAATGCGTTGTCGACTGCGCTATAACAACGGAGTCGAAAATTAAATCAAATTTTGAACACTAGGCTAAGACTGGAGAACAACATAGACATAGAGTCTGGTCAATTCACCAAAACTGATATTTGGGCTGTGCGCTCATTTCTAAAGGGATAGGAAGAAAAGCAGTGAAATTCCTTCACACAAAACCAATGTAGGCCCAAGTGAAGAAAGTTTCAGATGAATATGGTCTACAAAAAGAACTTGTTCCTTTATTACATGACCAAATACAAAATAAGCAGTCGAAAACTCGCTGTATACTTTATAGGACGGATAAGGAAGACTTACCGTGATCAGAAAGATCTTCGCGTGGTTCAGCTTTCACAACGATAGTGGAGACTGGCAAAGAGGTTGATTCCTGTAGCAGCGGCGAATTCACAGGCTTTTGCATAGAAGGCGCGCTATTGTTTCAAGTAGACATTTAAAACCGCAAGCATTAGAAGCAGCACGTATACATAACAAACGAAAATCGTGTTAGAAAAATGCGTTCTTGATACAAATGAATATACAGAACGGGCTTTCATTCACTATGCTTTAAGATCCTGAAAAAGGGGCATAAAAATAAGGGTATGGAGCATTTACAATAGGAATCGTTACAGTACACTGCGCTCATAAACCAAGAGAGATGCTACTTTGTGCGCCTGTGTGACAAACACTGCACGCATTGGCAGAAGCGTTTTTTACAGAGCAGCTTAAATGAGAATGTCTTGGTTACTGTGAACCCGACGTCATAAAAATTTACGTAAAAATCCTTTTTCTCTGCATGAGAAAAAGTTAAGACGTCCACTTACAATTTTTGGTGATCGTCGATGCCAAAATTAGAGCTTTTGACTTGGGTTTTTTTTCGCATGACAGATCCACAAATTGCGGCAATGTGTTTCTTAGTAAGATTCCGGAATTGAGGCATAGCTTTCCAATGGATAGGACTAGCCGTAAGAGACTTCCTGATAACCTGGTAGTCCACAGACGTATGCAACGTTTGGGTTGAGATGTCGTCGACAGCGTTTGGTTCAAATTTTTTCCTACATAATTTGCCCGTCTCCAATTCTTTTCTCTGTAAGATAAATTAATGACAAATATGATTCGACAGACCTTGCGCGGTTTGATTGGGCACGGGGTTGGGGCAACGGAAGGCAAGCTGCCTTCATTTTTTATTTCTTCTGCAAAATTTAATTCACCAACTTTATGGGGAAAGTAAATCGGTATGAGTTTTCTCAGTGAATTATTATTCTTGCAAAGCCGTAACCACGCATGAGAACGGGCCGAAGGGGCTGTCCGACGCGAACGGCCCATAGCCGAATAAACGAACAAAAAAGTCCACTCAAATTAATTAGCCCTCTTCTTTTCTAATGACTAAAACAAACGACCGATAGTGTAAATCACCCACAAGACATTTAATTTAGGCAAAGTATGCGTTACACCAGCTCTAGAACAAAATGGAAATGCTCACAAATTTCCAAGGCTTTGGAGCCGAAGGTCAAGATTTTTCTTTATACGATCTGGATAGTTCCCTTAACTGGCGGAATCGTAGACAATTCCCGAAAAAAATTGTGAAAGAAAGGCAATGTAGCTCTGCAATTGAAAGTTCTATAAAATCCTAATGATTTTTTTGTTACTGGATAGTGAGCATAAAGGAACACTTGTACTTTGTCTCTCTTAAATAGTATAGTAACGAATGCATTCTTACAGAACTAAGTGCAAAACGGGGACAAAGACTTCATTATAAAAAAAAACTTTACAACCCTGCAAATTAATTTCTAAGCATCAAAGCTTTTTAGTTAAGTAGATTTTTCACAGTGTACGTCACATCTGCTCATATATATAAGAATTCATTGGGTGATGCAAGTACGAGAATATGATGTGCGAACAGGTTTACAAGATAGAAGTATCCCAACGTTTAGAGCGGTTTGAAATCAAATTTATCCGGTCTCAATCTAACGGTTTCAAAAGGAATGCAAAAATCAAAAATTGCATATGAAAAAGGTGTAAGGTAACTGGATCACGACATGACATTCGAGTTTTAACTTATATTTTCAGATACATATTTCTGAATGAAAAAATATTGTATGGGGTCATTTCACGCATCTTAAGCTTTCTCTCAGATTTTGCTAACAATGCCTTCTTAGAGCGGGAATAGATATTTGGGAGGCCAAATAACACAGAATTTTCTTAGCCCGACTACCGTGCTTTATTTTTGTCTGCAAAAAGCCCGGGTTCGTTGATCAGAATGTGATCAAGAGAAGCATCAGTGGGCATAGGTTCACACGGCTAAAAATGCCACATAAAATAATAAGACGTTCACAAGACTGTATGGCAAGCTTGAGGAAAAGAAATTCAAAAGAACAGACTTAAGCATATTCGCATGTATGGGGGAATGTAAACGCTAGGGTCGGGGTTTGCCGACTACAGCGATAACGTACATTAAGTCACTTTAGTCACTTTATTAAGGAAAGAAAGCTTTCGCCCTTCATTCAATTTAGTAAATAAGGACTTACAAGCTACTAAACATTGCTGGTTTACAAAAACAGCCTCTCCACCATCTCTACTGCTTTATACGGATTTTCGGTCCGTACGAAAGCAGCAGAAAGACGGAAGTGTAATAGTTTGCTATTCAACAAAATCTCTTGAAGGCATATAACTTCGGTCTTGCTCCGTTCTTATTCCAATAGAAGTAACTGCATATCCTATGTTTTGTTGAAGATTGAACGAAAATTTGTGGACAGAAATCCTGGAATTGACAGTATGTTTTTTAGATGTCGTCTTCTGGCATCTTGCCATCTGCAGCCGTACTATATTCCGCTGCGTAGACTTTTGCTGGAAAGAGTGTGATAAAATTGACGTCGATTAATCACAAATTTGGTCAATAGGATAGAAAGTGCAATAAATTGCTTCATGGGCTTTCGCTGGTAAAAATGGCAAATAAAGTTAATTCAAAAAGATGTTAGCCTGCTCTAGAGATGATTTAATGGTCAAAGTTCAACCAAACCAAACAGAGAAATACACAGAATTGTATACAATTACAAAATAGTGAGCAGAATAAAACGGCAGCTCAAATGCAACAGCTCGCCAGACCATAAGTTGTTCATTTTCTTTTACATAATATGAGTAGTAGCCGTCCAGAACGGATGGCAGAGCTGATCGCCCGGGAACTGGCACGCTATAAGGTGTAAATCATCGCACGCAACAAAACCCGATTCTGCGACCGAGGCCAACTGAAGCCAGTGGGTGCCCGTTATACATTCTTCTGGAGAAAGGCAGAAAACGCGACACTTATGTCGCTTTTGTCATCCAAACAGACATTGTGGGCCGCCTGTTCGCCCTGCCGCATCGCCTGATGTGACTGCTCCGTCCTCTTCGGGATGTCATATTCTTCACAATCGCATGTGCCTACGCATACCGATGAGCAACACCGACGAGGCAAAGAAAAAGTCTTTAGAGTATCTTCATATCGTCAGGGCGACTTTGCCGAAGGCGAACAAGTCGATTACACCTGGAGAGTCGTGTACGATCCTCGTGGTTTGGACGGCTCCTGTGATAATGGCCTGGTCGTTCTGCGAAAATGCCCAGAATCCAGACTCATCTTTCGTATTTGGATGCAGCAGAATGTGACCAAGGTCAACTCTGGGTCCCGGTAATGGCATACTGGACTATGTCATCGTCCGGCAGTGAGACCAACGAGATATGCTTGTGACAAAAGTCGTCGTGGGTGCGAATGTATGAACTAATCATAACCTCGTAATCTACAAGTTGAGGGTTCATATTCAGCCACAGATGACCCCTGGCGGAAGTGTCCGCAGGTAGAATAAATGGTGCTTCGTTTACGTTGTCTGCTTATCAGTTCAATTTTTTTAGTATCCAGCTAATCGTCCAGTCGTCAGCGAGGACGCCACCGTGGAAAATTGATTTCACCAACTGAGAGACCACCTTAGATGTTCTCGGCCGCGAAGGTTCTCAACTCCACGACTGCTTTGGCGCAAGGGGGCAGCTATTAGTAAACTGTTCACCGAAAAGTACCAGCTGCACAAAGCCAACACTGA